TATATATATATATATATATATATATATATATATATATATATTCTAAAAAAATACAATTATTTATAGGCTTTGATTCACAATCACAAACTTTTATATATTTTAATAATAAAATATTATGTATTAAACATTATATACTAATATAGTATTATATATATATATATATATATATATATATATATATACATTTTTATATCATAACATTACATATATAAATATGTTATATTAAAAAAAAAAATCTTAAATCTGCTTACATATTATAATTTTATATTTAAATTTTTTTTTTTTTTTAAGTATAAGTTTTGATTCACACAGCCACAAACCTTTAATATATTTTAGGACTAAACTATTTGATTATATATTAAAATTTAATATTTTAAAAAATTTGAAAAAATGTTTATACTGTAGGCTTTGATCTGGATAGTCAAATTTATTTTATATATACTACTATTTGATAAAATCTGTCTATCGATCCCTTCATCCATAAATACAAATCCGGGAAAAACAGATACTGCTAAAAATTATAGTATGAATGCACTGCCAGAAGCTTGATATATACACATAAATCTATACTGATATGTTGGGTCTGCAGAGGCTGAACACTGGACATGTGATCTGTCTGAATTGTGGAGAGGAATCATTTTACAGCTCGCTATAAAAGGGCAATCAAGACAATCGGACAGAACTGGGATATGCGGTCAGTCGGCGCACTGGGTTTCACCCTGATAATGTGTGTCTGCGACGGGGACACACACTGGATTTAGACATACATTCATCTAGATCACAACCGACCTGGAAACAGAAGAACTTAGAGAGTGCAGAGTGAGATTTTGCTTCTGTTGGTGTGGAAAAACCAGAGAAACAAATCCATGAGGAAATCAATAAGGTTAGAAATTGTATCTACCGTAAGGCAAATCAAATTATAGCTAAAGCTCAAACTACAAATTTTGTGTCCTGTCATTGATATGCTGTTATTATATGTACTTCTTAACTGCCTTAAAGACCCTGTTAGCATTCGCGTTCTCCTGAGAAACATCCTTACACAACCAGAGATCTTCATAAACATCTCATCTTATGAATGGAGACAGATAGTCATATCTGCTTCACTGGCACAGCCGCTAGCATGACAGCTATCCTAACGCAACCCTGATAACATCCATTTACAGTAGTCTCTTCACCCTTGGCAATGCCATCTGTACCGAAGAGCCTGGCTATCTCAGAGATCTCAAACTCTTCACTGCATCTCAATGAAACTGCATCTGTTTCTGGAACATCTGGAAAGGGTTTTCTCCTGAGGAGATCTGTGACGGACAGTCCTGCAAATCATGAAAAGGGCCAGATTATAGAAAAATCAATAGCCAGTCCAATCACCCAGCAAAGCAACTGAATTAACCAGCACAGCTGGTCACTACCATATGTAGTGCTTGCCTACTTAGACGAACACTACATAAAAGGAAAAAAAAAGAAAAAAC